CAAATATTCGTGTCTGTACTGTTCTTAATTGACATGAAATAAAGTCCAGATATAGTCTTCTTTTGATTCTGGTGTTAAATATGACCTGGACATGTTTTGGTTCTCTTGTATCTTGGCGCACTTGAGTTCCACTTCTGTGGCCTTGTCCCATGACACCAGCGTTTATTTTACTACAATACTAACAGTCTGAAATATGTTGTATACATTTGTCCCGCAGTGGTGAGAGTGGCGCGGGTAAAACCGAGAGCACCAAACTGCTGCTGAGACACATCATGGAGCTGTGCAAGGCCAACTCACAGCTAGAGCAGCAGATCCTGCAGGTACGGCCCATCAGATCTGGCATCTGAATACAGCCACCAGGTTTGCACAGATTAGGACTTCAGTGAGAAATGATTGCCCGCTGCGTTCAGGTGGTGGGGGTTTGATTTACACACAGGAAGGCCACTGCTCGTGTGTGTGTGTGTTAAAGGCACATGTGTGGTTTCTGACTTTTGTGGCTTTTAGTCTGTGTCTGTTAGCGTTGAGGTGATCTCAGGGTTTCTGCAAGTCTTAAAGGGGTCATATGATGCTGCTAAAAAGAACATTATTTTGTGTATTTGGTGTAATGAAATTAAAGACACAGGCCCGAAAAACAGCGTGTTTCTGCTTCCACTCAAAATAGGCATTTTCTAAATTATATAATAAATGATCTGTGGAGTATTTTAATCTGAAACTTCACAGACACATTCTGGGGACACTAGAGACTTATATTACATATTGCAAAAAGGGGCATAATATGTCACCTTTAAAAACATCTTTAAAAGTCTTAACTCACCCTTCCAGAAATTACGACCTTAAAAAGGACTTGAATCAGAGCAGACAGTCTTAAATTCATAGTCATGGCATTAAATGTTGCATGCACTGCAAAAAAAACTTTTGCAAAAACAGGCACTTTTGTTTTCTTTTCCAATACAAATACCTAAACATTCTTAAATGAGGATACATTTACTTGATATGCAAAATGAAGATATGAAGTCTTGTTTTTGCACAAAATGATGTGTTTATGCTTAACAAACATCAAGAACAAATATCTGTCAATGGGGAATGAAAACTTGTTTTTCCTTTGAGTTAAGTTGATTTTTCTGAACCCATTGGCAGATATTTTTTCTTGTTTTAATCATAAACTCACTTTATTTTGACTGATTTCTCAAAAAACAAGAGTTGCTATCTGATGTCATTTTGCAATTATTATTATTATTGTTTTTATTTAATAATATTTAGACATTTGCACTGGAAACGAGACAAAAATACAAAGGAAGTACGTCACTTTTTTGCAGTGTCATCAGAAGGTACAGTAAAAGTTATTTCAATATCATATTTTTTGTAAAATGTATCAAAAAGTAATGAAAATCTGTATGAAGCTGTATTTTCAAACTTTAAAGTGTTGCTAATGCAACTTTTATTGATAAATTATGTTCCCTTCAATTTATTCCTTAAATTTTCCTTAAAATGGTCTTGAAAGAGTCTTAATATTCCTTCATAAAACCTAAAGAAACACTGCATCTTCATGCTAGTGTAAACCTAAAAGATTTAGCAGATATACACATGCAAAAGCTTTTTCTTCCAGAAAAATGCCTAAAGAAACTGATTACTCATCTTGCAGTTGAGGTGTTTCTATCTAATCAAATGCGCTTTTAGAATGAGAACACCCACTTATAATAATAATAATAATAATAATAAATAGCAAATCAAAAAAAAAAAAAGCAAAAGGCTCTAAAATCAATCTCTCTTAAACTTTATATATAAATACTCATGTGATTTCATGTGGTGTTTGAAAATATGTGGGTGCGGCAGCAATATTTTTGTAAGTTGAGGTCTCGGTTTGGTTTGAGGAACAGATGTGCATGGTAGAGGTTATTTCTGTTTGTTCCTTCAGTACTTCCTGGTACAGTCTAGTGTTGTGATTTGTTAGGAATTGGCATCGTTCTTATCTTTCACCATCTTGACCCGCTCAGATCTGTAATTATAGGCCGTAGCCGTTACTATAAAACACATTTCCATGCTGTCATGTCCACGCTGAAATTCATCATGTCTGCCACTGCGTCAATGTAAACATTACAAAACACCCAGGTTCCATTCCGTCTTCCGCGTTTCAACAGCAGGTTGGCTAATTTTAATGTCGATTGCACCACATAGTCAAAAATGTGTCGGTTGTGATTGTTCAAGAAACACCAGGTATAAACTAAGATAATATAAGTTTCCTGTGTTGCTTCAGATCATTGAAACTGACTTTATCGTGAGATGCGCTTTCAGGCAGTGAAATGTCCAGTTCTTAGCACATCATATGCTCTCCTAGCATCAGTTCTGATGAAATGAGAAATGAGTTGCTTAAGTTGCGAATGACTGTGTGTTCTTGAGTGAGTCTAGAGACCCTCACTTCTGTAAACTCATGCTGAAAACCCATGCTGGTTGGTTATTTTGAAACCCAGTATGTATTGATATCCATCTTTGTTGTTACTATAATTGCTGCGGTTTTACTTCTGCTCCTGTAGGTTCGCTGGCTTTGCAATGTCCTGTTTTCACTGCTGGTTCATGATGTTTGTTTGCATAACCTTTTCAGAGTGAGAAATATGACATCTTTTAACCCTGGAGGGTTTACATTCATATGCAATTTAATAGTAGATCTACTTTACATATGTTTAGATACATCAACTATTTACATAAACAAATGAATGCTGTCAAAACAGCCATTTTGATTGTGGGACTGTTAGGTTGTCCTGATTCTCTAATGTGTGTATGGGAACATTAGCACAATGTTCTCGGCAACGTTTATTAAATGTTGATTTGTAATGTTTTATCTTAAGGCTTTAACGTTTGCATTACTTGAATGCTATAAACAATTATTTTGCTAACTATTTTTTTTCCCCTATTGTTGGAGTTAAGAACATTAGCTATATTTCCATTCATGTATTTTTATGCAAATTTTGGGATATAACTTAAAAACAACTCTGAATGGAAACGCCAAGATCAAGCATCTGAACTCAAGAAAACATGACAGCGTTTGTTATTGCGTTTCGTCTGGTGCAAGTAATTTATTATGTTGGAAAAAAGGTCTCTCCCCGGTTGTAGCAACTTTTATTTTTATTATTGATACTTTGTGCCAGTTTCCCAGAAAGTGATGATTTTGTTCTTATGAACACATGGAATGGAAACAGTGCTTTATTTGCAAATGTTTTATGCAATGTTAAAATTTTCAGCATAAGTTGATTTATTCAGAAACATAGCCATTGAGAACAATGAGACATTCAAACATTGGGTAAATGTTTTATCGGTCACACGATATGTTATCGGCCGATATTTGGCAATTTTTTAAATATCGGCATTGGCCAATACGTTTTTCTGGTTGGCCAACAAGAGTCATGAGTTTATTTTGACAGCATTCAGTAAATACGTATTATAAGCAAGTCTTTAAATATCTAATAAACATTTCATGCCACAAACCTCACGATCTTCTGCAGAGAAGAATCTTTGCATTAAATAATCCTATATCATGTAGGCCTTTATCGGCTTTATATAGAAAGCATAAGGATGTTTTGTTAACATTTAAGTTTGATCGTTTCTTAAAGGTGAAATATGTGCTTTCTGCATCACTAGTCCGTGCAAATGTAATAAAAACATTTTTAAACAGGTTTTCCGAAAACTTCATCCATCTGCCATTGGTTAAGCCAAGATTTTGACATGTCTGAGCACTCGAACTGGTTGTCAGCGTGTTTCCAAAATTGAATGAACATTTTCTCACAACTCTTTCAGGAAGACAGGATGTCTGGGGGAGCTCAGAGAGACATCTGAGAAGTTTAGGAAGTGACCATGACTCTCTAAAGCATTGCATCAGCCAGAACAGTTCACTCGCTGGTGTGACTCAGGAAAGTCTTTCTGTTATATTACCCAATCAGGACGTGATACACTTTGACCCCATTTGCACATGGAGTTGGCAACCTTTGCTCCATGTGACTTCTCCTTCTGCATTTGTGTTTCCGTATAACACATTTCAACATCCTGTTCCTACGATGTGTGATGTGCTTTAAGGCCGGGGATACACCAAGCCGACTTCAAAGAACGGTGTTGTCGCCTTGCGTTGGCCGCGTCTGGACCAAAAAGCTGCGCTTGAACACATGGCACAGACTACAGCTGACTGCAAACTAACACATATGCGTTCTGCGTCTGCGTGAGAGGAATTAACTGTCTATTTCAGCAGCTATCAATAGTATATATTCATCATTCAAAAGGAGAAACCAAAACAAGGTTTAATACGAGATATATACGCAGATATACGAAACATAAACAAAGCAGTGCTTGCTTAACATTTTGAATATCAGTTATGTTGATAACTTTCTTAATTTTAAGCAGCTCGTGTTGTTATGAAAATATTCGCATATTTGAATGCTTGGGTAAGATCACGTAACATTAGAACAGCCTTCTGTCTGTGCCGCCTTCATTTACTTACTAGTTTTCATCACTTTTGCTTTAATTCTCCGGCACTGACTCGTTCGCTTAACTGAACGTCCAATCAGGGTTCTCACTCTCACCGACGGCCCCAACGCCGATTCAACATTTTGAATCGGGCAAACTGCAGCCGATGTGGTTTAAGACTGTTTTCTTGAAGAAAACCTTCTGGGGGGTATTCCAAAAAGCAGGTTATGTGACATACCCGGGTATGTTTGAGGATAAGCGAGCGGATAACCTCAGCTTTATATATATATATATTTATTTATTACATTTTATATTATCATCTCACACATGGATCGGCATTTTCTATAATGCCTAAATTCTAAATCAAAATACATATCTGATATGACTTGTTGTCACACAGTATGCTTGCATGGAGAAGTGAGCCAACTTTGTTCTCTCCCTCTGGAGTGGATCTCCCAAACAAAGACGGGATTCAGCAGTCCAGATTCCCTGTTTCCTTTTGCTCTCTTGCTTGTTGGTTCAAAGCCAAAGTTGTCAAAATTGTCCCAGAGGAGACTTTTATTGCTCAGAGGCTGCTCTTTCATAGCTCAGCTCTTCTGAGCTCTTATATTATTAATAAAATTAGTTAAATAAATTGAACGAAAAAAGACAAATGAGTCAATAGTTGATATACTACTACAAAACTGTAAGTTATTTAACTTTTGATTGGCAGACTGAGCACAGTTTAAAACATTGTTCCTCAATGTTTAAATTATAAATATATATATATATATCATTATAAATACATTGATTTATAATTGATTAATGTGTGTTTGTGTATATATATTTATGCAACAGTTCTTTCTGGTCCTTGAATCTGATTGGCTGAGAGGAGTGCAATATTCTAGTGAAAAGAGAACTCCAACCGTTTCAACGTTTGTATCACTCTGCTTGCCGTATTTCTCACAGCGAGTGTCATGGCGGACGCCCAAATCCACTGTAATTTAAAAATAATACTGTTTTTGTGTCACGGAATGTAGTTTTAAGAGTTTTTTAGGCGTTAATGTACTTGTTTAGATTTCAAATATGCGGTTTGTTAATAAAAATAACGTCTATTTGAAAATTTGCTCCGATGTTTTGGGAGATGTGAGCTCCAGGGCGTCAGCTGCCGTTCAGCGCTCAAGAACCCGCCGAGAGCAACCTCACCTCGGCCAGATCTTCTGGAATTAGCCGCTGGCTCTGATGTCTCTATAGTGGTTAAACATGAGATATAATTCATTTTGGGTAAATCTAGTGGGCGGTCTTTGGTCTCATTAATCTATTATTTGTTCCAGAGCAAATAGTTATCTCATCACGTTATATTTTATGTAACGTCAATGCTGTTGTATATCAAAGCGCTGCCTTTGTATTTTTGACTGAAGTGTCTAGCAACTTTTATGATGGCTGTTGTTGTTGTTTATTATTCAATAAATAATATTTTATATACATAATAGTAGTATTTAGTATTGGGAAACAGTGTTCGTAATGGGGATTTTAGTTACATTGTTTCGCCATTAGATGGTGACAAGAGACTGTTTTTCTGAGTGAGTCAGCTTTAAAGACTTTTATATTGAAAGAGACTGAAACGGAAGCTATATTTACTTTTAATAACAGCTTGTAAGACGCAGTTAACAAATGCACTAAGCAGCGCTGTCATCAGAAATCACCCATAACAGATGAAAGGACAGTACGACAAAGATATCGCTTTCCTCAGCGCACATTCATACTAATGTTTTATTGTGAATATGAGGTTGAGCTGAAGAATGAATGCTGTGTCAGATGCAGGTAATCACCCTCGCTCAGTTCATCTCTCATAATATGCTACATATAATACAGAGAGCTTTTAATAAAGTAATACAATACGCTTTTAATGAAGCAACTCAACGTTCCTTTGTTACTAGTTCTAAAGTAACGTTTTTGAATTAGTAACGGATCTTGAGCTGTTCAACTATCAAACTGAGATTTGAATCTGTGGTGAAAGGAAGTAGTTCCGCACAAAAGAGGGTTTTTAAAGACACTCCGTTGTTGTTTCTTATGTATTTACACACTCATGCCGTCAAACTGTTGTATAAACGCAATATCACACTCGTAGCTGTGCGATATGGCTGTATATCGGCACGCTGTGATTACCTGCGACCTCGTGTGATATTGCTCGTGTTTGTGTTATACTGTTTTTAGAAATTCTGGTTTCAATTTTAGTTATTTTAGTACATCAAGTTAAACTAAATGAAAGAGAAATGTTGACAAGAAAACTGTGAAGAAAACCAATGATAGTGAACAAATTGATGTTGTGACCAAAACATGTCGCCGTTCTCTCAACCAGTTTTGTGGTACATTCTGGGATGCTTTTTAAAACCAGAGCTTCCTAGTTCTATGTTTAGATTCTTTGATTGAATCTGATAGAACATGATTGTGTCTGAATAGGTGAATCCACTTCTCGAGGCCTTTGGAAACGCTCAGACGGTCATGAATGACAATAGCAGTCGCTTCGGGAAATACATCCAGCTCCGCTTCCAGAACTCTTCAGGTTTGTTTACGACAGACAGAAAAGATAACACTCTTCCCACTGACCGTAATGGATCATATAACTTCCGTTGGGTGTGTTTCTAGACCAATAAAACAATTCAGTATTCTCTGATTGAACATTAACCTAAATTTCGATATCTTCATAGTAAAAGGGGCCAAAATCAATGAGTACCTCCTGGAGAAATCCCGTGTGGTTCATCAGGACGAGGGTGAGCAGAACTTCCATATCTTCTACTTCATGTTGGCCGGCATCTCCACGGAGGATAAAGAGATATACGGCCTCCTGGACCCCACGCGCTACCGGTGAGTCATCTGTGATGTCATGTGCTTTTGAAACCGGATCAGCAACATTGTTCACGCTGCAGGTCATAGATTAGCATCTTATCCATGCAGTTTATTGAAGGTGTGTCACATGACGCCTCTCACAGAACTATCTGTGGCACGGACGGCATGTTTCTTAGTATGGTGTTCATTGTGTAAAAGGTCGATACAAAACATTGTCAGGTGATGCAAAGATCTGATTGGTTGAGACACCCAAGGTTGTGTGTTACAGTGATTTTAACAAATTCACTAGATTGACAAGACTTGAGTTACACACAAAAGTATTAAAAAATAGTATTTAGTATCATACTATTGTAGTTTTTATTAATATTTTGAATCTTTTTTTATTTTTATATTTTCCGTTTTCATTTTAATTTATGTAAAAGTTTTAGATATTTTGTTGTGTGTTTTTCATTTTTAGCAGTTTTTTTATATATATGTCTATATAGTTTCTCTTTTTATTTCAGTTTTAGTTATTTTAGTACATCAAGTAAAACTAAATTAAAATAGGCAATAGAATTATTGCTTTGGAAACTAGCTGAAATAAGTTTTTTATATTTCATTTAATTTCAGTTAACATTTATTTTATTTCAAGTAGCGAAAATGGTTTTATGGTTTTAATATATTAATTATAATATATTAATTTTAATAATTATGGTTGGAAATCAAATTGACCCCTATTGGTTTCTATGCAAATCACCAAAAATTAACACTAAATAAAAATGCTAAAGAATAAAAATACTAAAGAATCGTGCAAAGCCATAAAACCTCTATTGCATCTAAAATATATAAAATATGAGAAATTATGAACATTTACATAGTTATAAAGTATTAATAGTAATATATAAAATTAATAGTATCTAATAAAATAATTTATATACATTTGTACTTGTTCTAAAGAGCCTGTTCTATTTATGTCTGGTTTTCAAACCCTTATGAGGGTAAAATGGGTTTCTCACACTTATTTTCCGTACAACAGTCTAGTAATTGAGATCCTAAAAACTAAAACTAAAAACAACTACTAACAAAACACAGATTTGTTGAGTGTGACTTTATATATTTATATGAAGAGACAGCGATTTCTCATTGGATGATTCAGAAGACGAGTCTTCAATTTCGAATAAACGCCCAGTTTTAAGTTCTCGTGTATTTGATATTTTAGTTTTTGACAAGCTACAATAAAGCTTTTTTGTGTTGATTTTCAGTGAATTGCATGAAAGACAATGGGGTTCCTATTTAACCCATAACACCATTGTATTTACTAAATACTGTCTTTCCAAATCACATCTGCTTATCAAAATTTGCATGCACATAGTTTAACCAGTGTTTCAAGCTGTTTAAAAATCGAATGTAAAACTGATCTGCAATACAATATTAATCAAATTTCTGAAAAGCCAGCAGTACGCTGACATCTTTTGCTCTTGTCAGTTATTTGAATGGGAGGTTTGGGAAGGAAGACATGGTTCAGGCCTGGCGTTTGAAATATGCTGAAGTGTGGAACGCCATGGACATGGTGGGATTTGAGGAGCAGGTAAGAACAAAACCTTCCTTGTGTGTGTCCTGTGGTTTGAAATGCTTTTATATAACATTTACTCATTAAATAAGATGCTACATTGAATATGTGTACTTTAAAAAGATCATTTTACATACCACAGTACCATAAAGTTAATGGTGTTTAAAAATGGTGCAGTATTTGCAATGTATGTTACAGATTTTGATTTGTAGACCAGGATTTCTGCAGGCCATAAGAAGTCTTAATTTGGCCCTTCCACAAATGAAACCTTTAAAAAGGTGGTAAATCGAAGCAGAAAGTGTTAAATTGGCATTAAATGTTGCAAAATGTAATATTTTCTTCAGTATTTTTGTTTTGTTTTCTAAAAGTAATATCGAAGCACCCTTAAATCAAGATAGATTTACTTGAGATGCGAAAGGAAGATAAGATGTCTTTTTTCTGAGAAACTGAGCAAAATGAAGTGAGTTTATGATTAAAACGAGAACAAATATCTGTCAGTGGGGAAGCTTTACCTTGTTTAATTTCTTAATTCAAGTTATATATATTTAGTTTTATTTGTGTTATTTAAGTTATTTATAATAAGTGAAGTGAAGTTTACTGTTAAATGCACTGATGTCACACTCATTTTGAATAATAAAGTTTATTGTTAAATTGTTAAATACCCTGCCTCCACTACATAGGCCTATGTTTGTCACATCATTATAAGTCTTTGATCACCACATTTGAGTTATCATTGCAAAAAATGTGTTTATGTATATATATTCTGTTTATGTAGGCTATATACTGTATTCTATATACAGTACCAGTCAAAAGTTTGGAAACACGAGTGGGAAGTGTGTCCAAACTTTTGACTATACTGTACTATAATATAGCCTACACATAAAGATTATCGGCCGATATATCGATATCTGTCTTTTTTTTTTACTCCCTAATATCGGTATCGGCATCGGCCCCCAAAAAACCCATATCGGTCGGGCTCTAGTTTTGAGCAGAGAGATTTATCTATATTTGGAGATCTAAAACATAATGGAGATGTGAAACTTTGAAGTGTTGATAATACAAGATGCTGTCATTCAGAGACCATATTGACGTATCTTGAAAAGGTCTTAAATTTATCTTTATAAAACCTGCAGAAACCCTGATAGACCTTCACATCTCATTTGCAGGAAAAGGTGGACATGATGACTATTCTAGCTGGCATTCTGTCTTTGGGGAACATCGCCTTTGAGACAACAGACAGTGATGCTCTGAAGGTGTCCGAGGCATCACGTGGCTGGTTAAAAGCTACAGCGGTGAGTTTCCTGTTTGTTTCTCACAGATGTTAATTGTGGCAACACCACTGTCGAAATTCACAAGTCGACATGACGCGTGATGGTGCATGCGATAGCTCTCAACCATTGTGAAATGTATATTTAACACCAGACCTTCAGCAGTGCTGTTTTTAGGGTGACAAGTGTGAAGACAGTCCGTAAGAAAAGTTCAAAACGCAAATAACCTAAACCTCAGCAGAACATGCGGCGCAAATGCTTAGTAGATGCATGAAATGGGCAAAGGAGTATGGTTTGTCAGCCTGCGTTTCCAAAAGCATAATGGTTTCTATGATCTATTTAGACTTACAATGCTTTTGAACGATGCAGCACAGTTTAAATGCAGAGCAAATTCGGGAATTTTAAAATGGCGATTTCCAATAACAGAAATTTATATAGTAAATATACATTGCTCTGGTTAAGGTAGGGCTGTAACGATTAGTGCGATTATTAAATCACAAAAACTGATTTAATTAAATAAATACGTGCCGTGTGTTTCAGAGAGTGAAGCGTGGAACTGTGTTCATTTACACTTGAGCAGCTCATTATCCACCGGTATTTTTAGCATCTCAGTGCAACTCATTTCAGTCAATTATAGCATGGTTTTGGGAATGCATCACACCAACCATCTTCCTAAACAAGTGCTTATAAACCGGCTGTTGCCAACAAAAGAGAAAGTTTTTATGGTCCATGCGGTTTTCTGCCAAAAACTGCCAAAACTTTGAATTTAGGACAGCCGTAAATATTAGTATTGTTGTACTGTGAAATAAAATGTATTTTATTATTTTTACTTTACAGTGAAATATTACAGTAGTAATATTTATTTTTGTTGAATATTTTTATTTAGTAATAACAATAATAATTGTTTTAAAATAACAGCAACAATAATAATAATAATTAATCATTAATTTTTATTTTACATGAAATATTACAATAGTAATTCTTATTTTGTTGAATATATTAATAATAATAATAATTATTATTATTATTATTATTATATTATTAAAATTTAAATATTACAATAGTAATATTAGTACTGAATATTTTTATTCATTAATAATAATAATAAAATATATTATTTATAACAATAATAATAATAATAATTTATTTTTATTTTACATGAAATATTACAATAGTAATATTTATCTTTGTTGAATATTTTTATTAATAATAATAATAAAATATATTATGTATAACAACAATAATAATAATTATTATTATTATTTATAATAGTAATAATAATAATTATTATTATTATAGTCTTAGTGATATATAATCACAATAAATGCTGGCCACATTTTAAAATAATCATTGGAATTTAGGACCATAAATATTAGTATTGTTTTACTGTAAAATAAAATTTATTATATTATTTTTATTTTACAGTGAAATACTACAATAGTGATATTTCCTTTTGTTGAATATTTTTATAATTATAATTGTTATATTTATAATAGTAATGAAAATTATTAATAATTATTATTGGCAACTGTAATTTTTCTCATGATCGAAATATTTAATTGGATAGAAATTGCATATTTGTTTTCTGGCCGAGCAGGTAAAAATGGTGCATTTGATCGTGAGTAACTTCACACGTCTCCTTAACGAAACACATGATTTGAGGAACTCTGCAGGATGACACAAACTGAACTAATACTTATAATAATACTGAACACCAAACCACGAGCAGCAGAAATAGTGACTCTTGAATTAGAAAGGCCACACATACACCAGGTCTTCTCAGGAGATGAATGTTAGCCTGCAGTCACCTCGAGCGGCCTGCTGTTTAATCAGGTGAATTACGGCCTGTGCGCACACAAAGAAACTCTTTTAAGAGCAAACTGAAGGAGGTGTGGATCTGCCTACATCTGGCGTTTTACGATAAGACACCGAGTGCACAGAAAGACCAGACGTGGCTATGTTTAGACTCTATTACGGCATCCTACACGTATGGGGCTGTTAATAGTAGTACGCTGCATTTCCCTGACGCAGGACGGTTTCCGTTTATCAAATCTGCTGCGGTGGACTTTAACTTGTGAACCGGATCTGACACATTAAATTCGATGTGTGTTTTGTTGTACCGATGTATATGGGTCAAAGACAAAGAAGGGTTTAAGCATAAAAACAATACTGCTTTAAATTGTTGTTGTTTTTCCCAAAAAAATAAAAATTGTTAAAGTTTTCTGTTTCATGTAATTGTATTTTTGTTTTTGTTTTTCCGAGCAAAAAATATCATACATTTTTCCCTGATTTACAGAAGACACCCACTAAAATGTCATTCAGTGTAACAATCTTGTCAGGCATATTTACAACAAAAATCAATTTATGACATATTAAAAGACTAATTACTTTCACCCCAAATACTAATTAGTTGTTATTTTACATTTTTTAAATGTGCCACTATCCTAGGTTTTGCCCATTTGTCAGTAAGAATTTTTTACTCATTTAAAACCCAATAACACACTCACTTATTCTTTTATATATTTTAATATGTACAGGTCAGAATAAGCATGTTGTTTGAATTTTTACATAAATATTGTGTTACACTGAATGACAATGTAACATTATTTCAACCAAATTTTGACATTTTATTTGACCCATATGTGTCCACTAACGGCCTCCAGCATCTAAATGCACAAATTAGCTTGACCTTTTCTGCGTGACATTTACGTCTTGGTCACATTTGGCCAGTCATTGTTCTTTCGAAATGGCAGGGTCTGTTTCTTTTGTGTGTGTGTGTTTTTATTTTTTGGTTGCACAGTTCATTCCTTACATTTGTTCTGTTTCGCATTGCACAACGTGATTTAGCCTGATTTAGATTCAAAAGAATCTTGACACTAACCTCAGGAGCGTGTGCATGTTTTGGGAGAGAAACGATTGACGATTTGGAGAATTTTTTTTTTGATTTTTAGATAGATTTAAAAAAAAAATAGAAAATCTATTTTCTTTTATTTTTCCTGATAAAACATTTTTATTTAAAATGCGATAATGAAATTCCCAGGTTTTCTGTGCTTGTTTGTAGGGCTGCACAATTTGACCAAAACTATGTGACTATTTCAATTTGGCTATAAAATAATAATAATAAAAATAATACTCAAAGCTCGATTTTTTTTTTTTTTTTTTTCAGTGAAATATTACATATTTCATACATTATTTTATGAATGTATTTAATACATTATTTTATTCAGACTATATTTTCATACATAGTAATATTGCTTATTTTGTTTTTTAATATTTGTTTGTTTTTAATTAGTAATAATAATATATTATTATTATTATTATTGTAAAACTTTACAATAAGGTCTAATTTGTTAATATTAGCTGTATTAATGTATTAATATTTTTACAGCATTTATTGTCCTTTGTTAATGTTAGTTAATAAAAATCTTCACATTTATGTTATTTCACAGCACATTAATGTTAACAGATACAACTTTTTTTATTTTAGTAATGTATTAGTAAATGTCTGGCTTAATATTAACTAAGATTAATAAATGCTATAAATATTGTTCAAGTTAACTAATGTTAACAAATAAAACCTTATTGCAAAGTGTTACCATTATTATTATTATTACAAAAAAAAAACTAAATAAAAACATTTTTTTAGGTAATATTTCACTGAAAAATAAAAAATGGAATATAAAAATAAAAAAAAGTATTATAACACAATAAATATAATAATTTTATTTTACATTACAGCTGTAAATTTACAGTCAATTTATTTTTTATTTTTAAATGTTAAACCATCACATTTTTATTTTGACAGAAAATGCAGGGACTACTTTTGCTGTAAGCTCTTCTCGTTGCATGTTTGGGAAAGTGGTTGGCACATGTTGTGTTTTCAAATGCATGTTAAAGCAACTAAGTGATAATGAGCCGCTCGCATGTAAATGAACACAGTCCCGCGCTTCACTCTGAAACATGCAGCGCATATATTTATTTAATTAAATCGCAGCCTTTGTGATCGGCTAATCACACTACGCCATTCTGTGATTTTGTTTTATTTCGATGCATCATGCGGCCCTAAGAGAAGGGCATTCTTCTTGGCAAAACCGTGTGAGCTTGTTTCTGTAAGCAGGGTCAGTTTGGCGTCCAGGAAGAGGATTTACTGAAGAGTCTGACCTGCACCACGTCAGTGACGCGAGGAGAGGCCATCCAGCGACTCCACAACCAGCAGCAGGCTGAAGGTACACACAGGTTCACTTCGAAGTCACTAGTGTGTTTGACACCCTTCACACTGACCACCGTGTGTTTTAAACGTCGTTTCAGACGCCAGAGACTCCATCGCTAAAGTGGCCTACGGTCGCGTGTTCGGATGGATCGTCAGTAAAGTCAACGAGCTGCTCGCTCCTAAAGTAGACTGTGATGTGGAGCTCAATGAAATAGGTAAGAAACATAGTTCATACTTTGACTGAGAAACTTGTTTCTGTCTTTTAATTCAAAATAAAGTTACAATAAAACGCAAACTTAAACTTTGAAGTGCTAAAATTACTAAAACTAAAATAAAAATAAATTCAAGCTTAATTTAAAATAAAAAGTTAAATAGAAATAAAAAATAAAGCTAAACAAATACTGAAAATAAAATCTAATTCAAAATATTAATAAATACTATAATAGTGTATAAATAATACTAAAATAGCACTGGCTCAGCTGATACAGGTTTTTCTGTGGCTGACGTACTACATATTATAAAAAATACTTTAAATTATAATGATTTTTTAAACATAATGATTTTACATAATATGTGTTCAAATATGTGACCCTGTCTGTGAAATTCAGGCTGTCTCAAAATCTAATTATGAGATAACAAGCATCAAAGTTCGATTTCAACCATTAATTTCACTATGATTTCAATCTTTGACATGGCCTTACTTAGTCAATATTAAAGATATAAAGGTTATATTTTCACAGAATGTTCTACATCTTTATGAACGATGATTTTATGTAGAAAACAGTAAATCACAAAAAAATGACTTTAGCTGGGTTTTCACAGGCAGGGTCACATATTTGAAAACACAATAATTTTCATCCATTGAAAAGGCTGTCATTAGGTTTTAGAATTGACAATTAAATATTCACATACTAGAGGCCTATCATTAGTGAATGCCTCTAACCTTCAAAATGCAAAAATTACACTCTAACCATTGTTTGGTGCAGATATTACAATTTTCCTGCATTTTTTCCATTTATCAAACTGAATGTAACTAACCTGTAACTCTTCACCTCTTTCTGGCTGGTTGTTAAATGCCATGTTTGTCAGCTGGATGATTGCATTTTTATTTTATTACAGCACAATACAATACAACTCCTATGGAATTGGTAGTAAATTAACTCTTGCAATGACAATAGCCATAACTACTGACATGGCATTAAAAGCTCAACTACCTTCCTGCCTAGCATTCATTTCACTGAAACTGGATGGCAAATTCTTATTTTGTAAAATAATTCCTTACCTAAGATGAGTGACGTTTGAAGTTTGCTCTTTTATTTAAAATTTCTTTATTATTAGATTTTCTGCATGGAATATCAACTCAGGAAATTACAGCATTAATTTTATACAATTATTCTTCCATGTTATTACTAATACTACCCCACTAAATACTTCCCTCAATCAACAACTTATAACTTCAACTGGAAGGAGAGAAAAGAAAGAGAGAGAAAAAAAAACAGAGGTTAACATTTTTTTTATAAATACATTTTTAATAATAATAAAACAAATCATGCTTTTTTATGTTTAAAAAACATAAATAAAAATTGTATGTTTATATATTAATGCTCAGCTTAAGTATCAAGACCAGCAGATAATCTAAAAAGGGGCGCCACACCTTGTCAAAGGTCTTTAACGAACCAGTGAGTGACAGTCTAATTTTTTCCAATTTAATGCAAGTAAACACTTCTTTTAGCCATGTATCAAAGGAAGGGGGTGAGACGTGCTTCCACTTTAAAAGGATGAGACGTCTTGCTAGTAAAGTAGTAAAGGCTAAAGCCTTTTGGACCGTTACTGAAAGGTTAACATCTACTGCCAACCCAAAAATGGCCAAAAGTGGATTTGTATCGATATCTATGTCGAAGGCATCTTTCAAAGTTTTAAATATTTTAGTCCAATAATCAAATAATTTAGGGCATTCCCACAACATGTGAATGAGATCTGCTGGTGATTGCTTGCACCTATTACATGCATCGCTGACAGATATTTTGGCAAGTCTAGCATTAGTATAGTAAACCCTATGCAGAATCTTACATTGTATAAGCCCATGCCTTGCGCATATAGATGAGGTGTGAGTGAGCTCAAGAATACGCTCCCAGTGTCCATCAGATAACTCAAATCCCAAACTCTCTTCCCAAGCACCTCTGGCCTGATTTGCAGAGCCTGAATTAATATTGTGAATCAGATTATAAATGACAGAAATACAATGTTTTGAGTGTGGTTCAAGCTTTAAGAAGTCATCCAATGGAGATTCAGGGGGACGATTTGGAAAATGAGGGAATAGTTTTTGCACAAAGTGCCTGACTTGAAAGAAACGAAATAAGTGGGAATTAGGTAGATCGAATCTCTTAGAAAGGTTATTAAAGGATGAGAAAATACCGCTCTCATAGAGATCATCAATGGTCTTTTCTTACATTGTATAAGCCGAGGTTTGCTCTTTTACAGGAATCCTTGACATTTTTGGCTTTGAAAACTTCGCTGTGAACCGATTCGAGCAGCTCTGCATTAATCTGGCTAACGAACAGCTCCAGTATTTCTTCAACCATGTAAGTCCTTCATCGTGCTTCGTTATGAGTTTGATATTTGTATAGGAAAACATATTTCATGTCGCTTGAGTAGTGCACATGCTCTGACACTTCAAAAAGTTCGATTCAAGTCTCCTTTTTGACTGTCTCTGTCAGTAAAACGACAAAAAGGCCGAAAGATAAAAGGCGTCTGTGGTCCTCTTCCATTGGACTGCATTAAAAATACTAGACTTTTTTTTTTTTATTGGACATATTTATACACCTAAAAGTTTAATAATTTAAGTCTATTCATTTTTTAAGTATTGCAATATCTTAAAAATTATAATTAAAAATACCCATTTTATGTATTATTGATATTTTATATAATCACTTTAGCAAAGTTAAATCCTTCCAGCATATCTTGCCTCATAATAAATGCATACTAATAAATGTAGTTTTTTTGCGTTTTACAAATTGAAGCATGAAAATTATTTTCAGTAATCCTCCATTGGGCTGCCTTAAAAATTCTAGGCTTTTTTGTTATATTAGGCATATTTGTATGCCTGAACGTGTAGTAATTTAAATCTATTACATTTTTAAGTATTGCAATCTCTTTCAAATTAAATTATATAAAAAAAAATAATTTTTAATTTCATATTTATATTTTATATAATTGCTTTAGCAAATGAAACCCACCTGCTTGTCCTGCCTCATTATAAATGCATTGCAGTAACATGACAAAAAATAAAAGTAATTGAATGCATACTAATAAATGTAGTTTTTTTGTGTTTTACAAATTGAAGCATGAAAATTATTTTCAGTAATCCTCCTTTGGGCTGCATTAAAAATTCTAGGCTTTTTTGTTATATTAGGCATATTTGTATGCCTGAACGTGTAGTAATTTAAATCTATTACATTTTTAAGTATTGCAATCTCTTTCAAATTAAATTATATAAAAAAAAATAATTTTTAATTTCATATTTATATTTTATATAATTGCTTTAGCAAATGAAACCCACCTGCTTGTCCTGCCTCATTATAAATGCATTGCAGTAACATGACAAAAAATAAAAGTAATTGGTCATTTAACTTTATTTCAAATAAAGGCTTGAAGAAAGACCAAGGCAGTAGATGTTAGAAACCATTAAATGCCACTTTTGTTCACTTCCGATTCTTTCAACAGGACATGATTTGGAACTCAATTAATATAATAATCACATTTTCAATGCCGTTTCCCTCCAGCACATTTTTCTGATGGAGCAGAAAGAATATAAAGAGGAAGGCATCACATGGGAGACCATAACCTACAAGGACAACAAACCCATACTGGTACGTCTGTGTTCAGAACTATTTCCAACTCTTTTTTCCCCCCATTTTCCTTCTCTCTGACTCCAAAAATACACCCGAGCTCTGCGTTTGGCAGACAGCCGTGTGGTAAATCCCAAACACAGGAAGTGCTGACGAAGCAGGACACGTAGCTTTGAGAATCTCTCTCAGATTTCTGCATGCATTCTGACCCAAATCCTTCGGCGCGCTGCTGAATGGGAAGCTAAAAGAAACCTGAAGCTTGTTTTCATTCTCATATGAGATTCCCGCTCTGTAAACACGAACTCTGCCCTGTAATTATGGCTGTTCAGCAGCCGCCCGTTTGGAAAGCTGCAGATTAAATGTATGTCACATTCATATAGCATTCAGCTCTAAACCTGCAGCACCGTCAGCGAGAGAGGCCTGTTTAGCTTGTCAGCATGGAAAACTCATTCACCCATGCCAGGTTTGTTCCTCTGTTTCAGGACCTGTTCCTCACCAAACCCATTGGGATTCTCTCACTGCTGGATGAGCAGAGTGCCTTTCCTCAGGTACACTGGACGGGGTTGCTAGTTAAACCTGAGACACAAAAGAAAACATGTTGCCAAGTCCTCCATAGGGCCACAATTACATTTATTTGTACAAATACAAACAACAAAAAAGTTTTTTTTATTTTTTATTGCATTTACATTTATGCATTTAACAGATGCTTTTTTGTGCATTTAACAGATATTTATACACCTAAACATTTAATAATTTAATATATACATTTTCTTTAAGTATTGCCACTTTTTAAAACACATTTAATTTTTATTCATAATTTTTTATTTATAATTTATATAATTGTCTTGCCGCATAAATGCATCACTGTAAATACATTTTTTTTGTTGTTGTTGTTTTGCATTTTACTAACTGAAGGATGAAAATGATTTAATGTGGTAATCCTCCATTGGCCTGCATTTAAAATACTGACCTTTTTTGTTATGTTGGTTTTGTACATCTCATAAGGTGTAATAATTTAAGTATTGCAGTTTCTTTAAAATACTTATTATTTATAACTATATAAATATTAATAATAATATTAATGCATTAACGTAAATAAAAATTTATTATTTGCATTTTATAAACTGAAGTACGAAAAAAAAATTTCAGTGGTAATCCTCCATCTAGCTGCATTAAAAATACTTTCTTTCTTTATTTACCTATTTATTTATTTATTTTATTGGACATATTTATTATAATTTAAATCTATTAATTTAAGTATTGCAATTTCTTCTCATTTTAAAATTATATTTAAAATACTTATTTTTATTTAAAACATTTTTAATTGCTTTAGCAAAATGAAACTTTTTTTTTTTGCATTTTACAATCTGGAGGTCAAAACTTATTTTCTGTGGTAATTCTCCATATTTGTAATAATTAGTGTAAATGTAAATTATATATATGTATTTTCAGTATTGCAATTTCTTTAAAATTATATAAAAACATTTTATAATGTGTTTAATTGGTTTAACAAAATGAAACCCTCCCACATGCCTTGCCTCATTATAAATACATTACTGTAAGTGTTTTAAACTAAATGAAAATATATTCTGTTATAATCGACAGCTCACATAAAGCTCAACTTGTATTGAACGAGGAACATTCATTTGAATAGCCATTGAATTAAAAATAAGCAACAAAGAGACGTCAGAGCCATTAAGCTCTGCCTGTTTTGTGCTCATTTTCATTCTGTGCATGTATGTACGGTGGAGATGGTCCACGTTCAGGACATTACAGTCATGTGACTGCATTTGTTGTGCATTTAACATGTTAAAATCAGTATTTATAGCAAACAGCTTGTGATGATGATTTCTGCACCCACAGGCCACTGACCGCAATTTTGTTGACAAGTTAAACAGCAAATTTAAAACGGCTCCCAACTTTGAGGTTGTGCGAAACCACACCCCTCTGTTCACTATTGTGCACTACGCTGGGAAGGTGAGTGTGCAAAACCACCGTCAGCACTAGTACCTAACAATTCACCTGATCACTGACTTCATGTAGATCAACAAAGTAATTGTTGTGCTGGTTAATAATTAAATGATGCATGTGCATATTTCCCAGAGGCATGATGCATTAATAAGGGTGTTTTTCTTCATAAAGTGTGCATTATTCCTGCATGAAATGTCTTTTTGTGGTCTGTCCAGGTGCAGTACAATGCAAGTGGATTTCTTGAGAAAAACAGAGACACGATACCGGCCAACATTCGCGAGCTCTTCATCAACAGCGTCACTCCTCTCCTCAGCGTTCTGTTCGCAGGTCTGAATTCACTCCCATCTTCACACATCGTTAGATAAGTGTAAATGCTCAAATCACAACCAACAATAAAAAGCATTTGGTTGCGAGTTTGAACACACACACACACACACACACACAATAAATAAAAGTAATACCATATGTACAGTGTATATATATATATATATATTTGTGTGTGTGTGTGTGTATTTATTTTTTATTTATTGCTAAAGTATTTTACATGTTAAAAAAAAAATTTCCTTATTTATTTATAATTGTTATTATTATTTCAGATGTAGATAAGTTATGATGTTCAAACCACAACCAACAAAAAAAGTATATTTTGTTGTGTGCTTTGAATACACACAATTATTTTTATTTATTATTATTTTTACATATTCTAAATGTTTTTTCCCTTATGTATGTGTTATTTATTTATTTATTCCTGTTGTTGTTGTAATATATTGCATTGTAATTAATTTATTATGTTTTTCCCAAAGTATTTGCTCTTTATTTATTTTATTTTTTTGTGTAGATGCTTAAACCTCAACCAACAAACAAAAGCATTTTTTCATTATTATTGTTAGATATATATATATAAAAAAAATTTTTTCTTTCTTTTTTTTTTTTTTTCCAGCCACAATTTCCCGAACAGGCACACTAATGCCACGGAGAGCCAAGGTATATCTAAGATTTAATTTTTGTTTATTTTTTTTTGACACACCAGTGTCTGTTAAAACACATTTTGTAATATTTCCCAGATTCCTTGATAGGCTGGTGTTTGAACATATTTATAGCTGTACAAATGACAAATGAGTCTTTCCTGTGAGATCAGTGATACTTAAAGCAGAGAGCGATCGCAGTATGCAGCGTTTCACCACATGACACTGTGTGCATCTTAATTTTAGTTACAAGTTGCAGATGACAACTTTAACTCGACCAGGAAGCAGTCCGTCGGTGCACAATTCAAGGTAATCTTCACTTCTAAATAATCATAGTTTTATGTGCTGGTTTATTTAATGCATCCTATAATCAGATGAATCAAATGCATGTAAATGTGTATGTACTTAAATGTGTACATCTATTCATTTCTATTTTGCTTGTATCAGAAACATTTATATTGATTAATCCCACAAAAACTGTCAAGAACATGTCCAGGTCATATTTCTATGCAAGCTTGTTTCTGCCACAGGATTAAAAAAAAGAAAAGAATAAAAGGTAATTGCGACATTTTATCTCACAATTCTGTGTTTTTTTTCTGTCAACTCAGAATTGCGAGGTATAAATTTAGAATTGCGAGATGTAAACTCAGAATTCTGAGAGAATTCCGAGATATAAATTCTGAATCGTGATATAAATTAGACATAAATAAGATATAAATTTAGAATTGCAAAAAATAAACTCAGAATTCCAAGATATAAACTGAGATAGAATTCTGAGATATAAATTCAGAATTCTGAGATATAAATAAGATATAAATTTAGAATTCTGAGATATAAATTCAGAATTGTGAGATATAAATTAGATATAAATAAGCTATAAATTTAGAATGGCAAGAAATAAACTCAGAATTCCAAGATATAAACTGAGATAGAACTCTGAGATATAAATTCAGAATTGTGAGATATAAATAAGATATAAGTTTAGAATAGCAAGATATACATTTAGAATTGCGAGATATAAACTCTTTAATAGAATTCCGAGATATAAATTCAGAATTGTGAGATATAAATTAGATATAAATAAGATATAAATTTAGAATTCCGAGATATATAAATTCAGAATTGTGAGATATAAATTAGATATAAATAAGATATAAATTTAGAATTCCGAGATATATAAATTCAGAATTGTGAGATATAAATTAGATATAAATAAGATATAAATTTAGAATGGCAAGAAATAAACTCAGAATTCCAAGATAAAAACTGAGATAGAATTCTGAGATATAAATTTAGAATTGCAAGATATAAACTCAGAATTCCAAGATATAAACTCAAAGTTGCGAGATATAAACTAGTAATTCTGAGGAGAAAAGTGAGAATAGTGAGATATAAACTTGCAGTTCTGGGTATATATATTAGGGATGTGCTTCTCATGACTCGGGCCGATACGATACACATCTCGATGCATAGCCAACGATACGATACATTAAAGATACATATGAAGCAGCTACCGATGCGATGCGATATGATTCACC